GTCCTCCTGTCTAGGTGTGGGCGCCCTGGAAGTATACCAGCCCACGTACAACCATGAATTGCACATACACAAATATATGCACCTACGAATGAATCGGCCCGATGGTCCGAATGAGATTATTTTAACATTGTCACCGAGAACAGGAGTGAAAGAAACAAAACGAAAACTCGCGCTGGAAGGTTCCAAGAGCTGCCAACAAGATATGAATAACTGAGAACTAAGGCGCGCTGAATTGCACTTAGGTTGGGTGTGCAAAGTTCAGTAAATGCAGTTGCCGGTAAAACAATGGCAGGTTCTATTGTGTTGACTAGGATAATGTTGCGAAGTAAACGCAGATTTTGAGGTTCCCCAAAAATGTTTCCCGTCTTTCACCGACGAAAACGTCCAACATGCGTATCCTAGCCAGAGAAACACCACCAAGTCTGTATACATGTTTCAGGAGATACGTAGTCCGCGTCACTTCAATGCCTCACACGCAATTCAAAGCAAAACAACCGAAGGAATCCAGAAACAACCCTCTGGTAAAATGGGCTCAAAACATTAGCTATGCCAATACAAAACTTAGAGAGTTTACAAAGCGAGCATCTCGTCTGAAAAAAATGTGGATCGCTGCATTCCGACCTTGAGCTTGTCCTGATCCTTCGACTTTCAGTCGAAGAGTGCAGTTTTTCGTACTTGGGTACGGGATGTAGCTGGAGACAGTGTAGATTGCTATCCTCGGTTTTTGACAAGAGAACAATCCCCACTGAATGAAAGCACCTGTGGCGGGGAAGTGCCTGTACACAGATAATGGGAGCCGGTCAGTCAGTTCACAACCAAAAACTGAAAATACCAACTGACGACAGTGTACCGGGAAGAATACGGATGGCCTTCACCATTTGCCAGAGGTCGGCATCGCAGGACCAGTAGATCGTGTTCTGCACGGATCGCCCAATTCGAATGTCACCGACTCCCTCTAACGAACAAGGAGCTGTCGCGTCAGAAAACTTTGACGAATAAAAATGCCATGCTGAATCCCAAAAGTGTGATTCTAACTTCAAACAGTTTAACGATTTTGTGTATGACCGATCCGTTTGAGTATGGCGCACATGATGACAGTGGCAAAGTTGATCATCAGCCCATCATACGGCCTAAACATCACTTCGTCTCCGGTCATCTTTCGATATCAATATCATTATCACCACTGACAGTAACACATCTACAGTGGAGCCTGTTCAGCTGCCATACAACCATGGAGAAACAAGGTCCTGGCAAGGAACGAAAATGAGGTGGTAGATACATATTCCGAAAGGCTCAACAACCACCAAAGGAAATGGTCAGAAATAAATTGGTTAGATCGCGAATTTACTGGCCGAGGGGTCCGTGATTCCAACCCGACCTCTGCATCTCGACTTCGTCTAGACTTGAGCAACGTGGCAGTATCCCGGCACTCGTGCTTCCTACGGTTAGCATGGTAGCTACGCGCCCAAAGGGTGCTACAGCTGAAAGACGAATGAGACAAACGCATCTGGTTAAGGCGCCAACTGACCAGAAGTTCCGTGGCTCGAACCCAAGCTAAACATCTCCATGGTTCCCATCAGAGCTTGAGCAAACTGGCAGTGTCTCAGCTCTCCTTTAGTTGGTATGATGGTAAGGCACCGAAAGTGTTAAAGTTGAACGACTGATCTGAGGATGAGGTCAGAATAACACGTCACAATGAACCTCACCTAAACTAAACCCGATAAGCAACAATATGCAAGGGTCGGCTATGTGTCCGGTCAGGAACTGATGACCATCTCGCCACTAGGGTCGGTTTCGTGTTTTGCAGGGTTCCTAACAAAGCGCAGGGAGAATCGTCCGGAACTCACTAAGAGATTTCACTATGCTCAAATGGACAGCAGCCACCTTCAGTTCACGTTGCTACGTCATGACCTGTCCTCTCAGAACCCTTCGTCAACAAGAGTTTGGGGTAGAAAACTGTCTTCTTCCGCACAGGACTGCTGGGTATTGCACGCCCCCATAATCTTAGCCTGGCAAAGTTTAAATGTTGCGCTAGAAAATTGGGTCGCGACTATGAGGTTAAGTGAGTTGGTATGCCACGGTGGATAGACAAGATACCAGGATGCACTAGAGCATTCTTCAGAGGTACATGTTTTTGCGCTTTAACTGCAACTAAAGGCCGAAACAGGTGGCCTCAACAGCACAGTTGGTTCCCCGTGAACAAACCTTGAGGTCTATAGAAATCTACTCAATTCATCTTGTTACCACTGAAGTACCATAGAGTAGACATCAAAATCTACGCGCAAGGGAAGAAAGCAAGGAGAAACAGCTTCTTCGTAGGGAAAACAAAGAAATGGAAAAACTCACGCATAATGAAATCCAATATCGTGGTTGCCAACGACATTTTTCATTATAGTCTTGGAACGGTCGTGTTGAAATATGTAATCATAGCGTTGGAGATGAGAGAGGAAGTCGACATCGCCAATCCAGGAGCCCTCGTCGAAAATATCACCCAAGATAAACACCAGATTCGGTTGGAGAAGGGCAAGCGCAGTCTGGAACGCTTGTCGTATTTGCCAATCTCTGTTCAAGAGAAGGATGGAGAGGTTCGGGGAGGAAATATATCCTGCCTAAAGGTCCTGTAAGAACGTCGTAAATGAATTAAACGGGAGCCTAATGTGACGTGCATAGACCTTTTACTACGTACCAGATTACTGTCTCTATATATATGCACGACACTCCTGGAGGCGGATCACATCATCAGCATCAGCATCAGCAATATCATGTTGGCACTGATGCTTCACTGCGGAGCACAAAAATTCACCGAACACGGATTTCGATCACGTCGATAACACTCTGACCACCAACCAAACGATAGTCGAAGGATTGAACTTGAGAATATTGAGAAGTAGTGATCAGTTTCGAAGAATTTGAAGACGTGCTTGAAACAATCACCTATGAGTGTACACAAAAAATCACGGTGCAGTGCTATCTACACCTACATCATAGTGAGATACGGATGGCATGTCGGGATCATACCCGGATTCTCAATGGGGTCAATCTGCAATGTTTGCGAATGATTATACGATTACTGCAAATGAACGGAATCAAGAGTATCTTGATTCACCATCATTTGCGCTGGTCAGGATATGCAAAACCTACGGCGCCGAATCGTTTTCCCAAGTAGCTGCGATACGGCTAGGTCAAGAACGGTCTTAGAGGCCGAGAAACTACGACGAAGAGATAGGCAGATAGGTGAGTTTAAGACGAACGAACGTCCATTCTAGGCCACACGGAAATCTGACGACGGAAGGAGATACTTCGGGAATAATCGTAATAATAAAATCGTTCATCCGTAACATGCTTTCGGTGCCTAGCTGTCATGCCACCCGAAGGAAGTACGAGGGATGAGATAACGTATGGTTGCCTCACTGTCGTCAGGAGCACACGAGGTTCAGACTATCTATTCGGCAATGTCACACATTACCGGGACGACAACACTAACGCACCATGTTTAATCTGTGAAATGACTGTCAGGCCTCGGGTCAGCCAGAGGAAAAAGTGATTTTAAACGTAAGTAGAAACACAAAACAAGTTGACACTTACCCCTTCATAGCGGACGAAAAAGAATTACCATATATACATATACATATATACCTCCTGTCCCTACCCCATTAGTGACTCCCCTCTTGTAGACCCAGCACTTAGGACTGATGACTCTGTTTGTCCTGCAAGGTTTTACAAGCAACATCTGCGCGTCGTCCGGCGCCGATATCTTTAGTTATCTCGAAATCAATCTTCAAGCCAGGATGCCCGCCTTCAATGTCTGCATTCTGAAGCACAAAGGTCAACAAGCTGCTCTTGCTCTCACACTGGACTCGCTTGGCATTGTTGTGTGCTGTGTCTCAGAAACAAGAATTCAAGATGCAACCACAGTGGCTAAACTAACCGCCTCATCACTCTCCACCCGCTTCCGGCTGTGGAGCCCAGGAACCGGCACAACAGGATGTGGAGGGGTTTGTATCGTCCTAAGTCAGTGGGAAGAAGGATACTTGCCTGACAGGATACGCGTTGATGGTCACCTCTGTGCGGTTCATCAGGCAACGTCCGTGAAGGAGTCTCATAAGCAGGAAGGTGATCGATATCTGTTTGTCGTGTCCGCTTACGACCCGAAAAGCTGTAGCGCTGACACCATCAAAGACAGGTTTTATGACACTCTGAATGCCCTATTCCGGCAAGCTAAAGGCTCAGATATCTTTGTCGTAGCCGGAGGTCAGCCTGCACAAGTGAGTATGCTTAGCGCGTGTGAGGGTCAATCAGGTGATCAACATGGACTGAGCTCAGTAAACACGGACAATAGTGAACGACTGTCTCAGCTGTGTACTGACGGCAGGCTGTTTTTATGCAATACTAACTTACGAAATACCCGAAGTCGTCTGATCACATTGTCCTCCAATGGCTTGCCAGTCACAAGCTCAAATCGATCACATCACCATCAGTTACCGATGGCATAGATCAATAACTGAGCGTCAGTCGTTTTGGGGAATGCTGTTTTTCACGCGCAATTCAGATTGGCGGAGGCCGTGAGGTGGCCAAACCTTGAGTTGGGAGAGGGGTATGAAAAAGATTACTAAATGCTTGGGTGTTGTCGGTACTACTCGCCTTCCAGGATGGGGACCGCGTGATCTCCACTGAGCCTGGTCGGAGACACTGTGAGATACGGCCGATAATCGATGTTATTGGTGTTCGTGTTGTCAGTTGCTATCCAGATTGCCTGAATGAGTGTCTGGAGGTGCATGAACCTCGGAATGATTGTAGTAAGCTAGAACTAAGTCCCACATCCGCCTTTATTCTTTTCTCCACAACAGGGCTTTCAAATAAATCATTATTGTACGGCAGCGAAGCACCGGTGTTGAACACTGACGTCATGCTGTCGATAATGATTATGATGACGGCAACACCAGAGGAAAACACTGGTGTTTCACTAACGTACAACCATTTTGTTGAAATAAACGCTACAGTGTGTACGGTTTGCACAGTTAAATGTGATGCTGCGCGCAAGTCCCTAACGCCAATTTAAACTGGAGGGAATAAGATCGGTGAATGAACGTGCAAAAACCCGTCACAATCCTTCAGCCGGCGTAAATATGGCGTAACAATGGGTATCTGCCCCATTGTGACATCAAAGTAAAGGCAGGTAACGGGACTGGAACATGGGGTAATGTGGAACCACGGAGACTCGATGTTTGTCGAGTTTGTCTCGGTAGCTATGTAGGGGTAAGTGTCAACTTGTTCTGTGTTTCTGATTCCGTTTAAATCACGTGCTCCTCTGGCTGACCCAAGGGCTGGCGATCATTTCGCAGGTTAACTATGATGTGTTAGTGTTTCCGACCGATGACGCGCAAGATTGTCGAACATCTAGTGCGTCTGATCTTGACGAAACGAAATATTCCGTCGTGTATATCAACGTAGATAGCTTAGGAGCGAAACGCCTTACTATGTTTCTCTCAGGCGACCAGCAGGTCCATATTTATGGAAGCAGCGATGCTGCCTTCCCAAGAGAAAGAACGGATTAAAAAAAGGTTGGCCCTAAAGCCAAACACTCCGATCGTTCAAAGATTGATCGTGATCCGCCAGTGTGTTGTTTAATACGGTCAAAATACCTTCTGAAACAGATACTTTTAAAGCCAAAGAAGCTGGTGCTGCTCAAAAGTCGCCTGCTGTGCGCAGACGCAATAGGAGTGTGGCAGCAGTGCCACACTACACCACATCCTCCCAACGACATGCGGGTCCAACTTTTGGACCAGAGGCCCAAGGTTGGGTGCTTCAACCCAACCCACTTCTTCGGCTTGGGCAAGCAGGAATCCCCACTCATCCTTGCGGCTTTTCGCCCAACGGTTCTCCCTAACCGTCCCCCCGCCAACTGAAATAAGTAGTGCAATCAAATTATTTGTCAAGTCCTTAGTTACTGTTCAGTGTAGAAAATGCCAACCCGCAAAATGACCTCTCACTAACTTCAAAAGACTTGATCAACGTTACAGCTTTCAACGACCGCACTCTATATCAAATTGGGCAATAGGCATCTTTAGCTGAAATGTTGATGGTGCCGAAACATGCACACGAAACCCCCTCACTTCGTTTGCGCACCTCAAACCGTTTAAGGCTAGCTTAGATGGATATCTGGTGATCCCGACGCACTCGATCGTGGTATCTGCGGGGTTACACTCGGCCCCAAGGCTAAAAGCCTCTCCTGGACTAGATCTAAGTAAACAGTCGACATTGAGCCGTGCGGTTTTCTGGCTCGATTACGATCATTGCTGGTTGATGCGGTAAGCCGTGGTTTTTGCCGTATCAGCAGAAGCCCCAACATACTGCAGTTCAGTCTGAGAGGTACGGGTTTTACTAAGATTTGTCCAGATTGCTTTGATAAGCAAGAAGAACGGTTTCAGTAATCCTGGCGGATGATAAGAATACCCAAGCTGGACGATTAAACCCGGAAGAAGCACAAACCAGTCACTGATTAATTTGGATAATGTGGCTGTCGGTTACCGATGAAAAGCTTCAACTAAAGACCACCGTTCCTTCTGGGGTTACGCTGCATGATCATACCAATGTGGGGGGTAGATGGCGATCACTTCACCTTCCGTCAGCATTACGCGTACGGAAATACGGCAACCTCATTCAACGTCGACGAGTTCCAGTAGCACCAGATTATCGAGCTGATCTGGACAGAAAGCCAGTGGAAACGCACGGTCATATTGATGGTCTGCCGAAGGCTGAATGCAAGAAAGTGAAATGTCAAGGATCGATAAACGTTATTATCGCAGTCTTGATGGGATAGGCGATTTCGGGGTCATTTCGTTACGAGCTTAAGGCAGCTTAGGTTAGGGCACGGACCTACTGACCTAGCAACCTGGCAGAATCTCAGCCCGTGGTTCCTTCAGGTAGCATGGCAGCTAAGCACCAAAATAGTGACACAGTTGAAAGATTCCTATTGCATCAATAAAGCCCTTACTATTGCCTGGTACACGCGGCCCTCGAGACCTGGGGATATAATTTTTCGAGTCCAGAAGCGACGCAAATAGGCAGACGTGTTTAGAGTTCCAAGGTTCCTTCACACACTTCAACAGACACAATTTCGTCAGAACTGATACAAAAACCATGGTATGAAGACATCTCTGCAACATCCAGTTATGCTCATTGAAGTGGAAGGGATGTATTCAAAGAACACACGTTCTGTGGCATGAATTGGCGCTTTGAAGATGCAAGACGCATACTGAAAGACGGTATGCCGGTGGCAATGTCTTCCAACAAGGCATCTGCTTCGTATTGAAAGCGAGGCGAGATGGCTGTGTTTAAAGCGTGATCTTACTGAGCGGATGGCCTGTGGTTCGAACCTGACCTCTGCACCTCGACTTATCCCGTCTAGATTTAGGCAACCTGGCAGCATCAAAGCTCTGGTGTTTCCTTCGGGTGGCACCATCAGCTAGACACCGAAAGGGTGATACAGGTGAAGAATTTCCTTCTTTCATCTTCAGAGGTGAGGACGATGGCGTCTGCGTACTCCAGATTCACAAGGTTCTCACCAGCAACGACTCCAACACCGGAGTTTCGAAAACCTTGCAACGCTCACCCCGCTATTTCATCAACGGCGGAGTTCAACAACAGTGGAGAGGACATCCCCATTGGACACCATTATTTGCAAGGAAGTCTTTAGAGAGTTCAACATACACTCTCACGCCCTGAACTATGCACATGTGGGGGCGATGTCGCTGCGGTTAAAGCGCGAAGTTACTGACCGGAAGGACCGCGATTCGAAACCGACCTCTGCCTCTCGACTTCCCCTGTCTAGGCTTTGGAACCCCGACAGTATCCCACGTCTCATACTTCCTTCTGATGGCATGGCAGCTAGGCACCGAAAGGGCGTTACAGCTGAACGATTATCTTTAATTTTTTATCTTTACCTGACAAAGTGTGAAGATGTGGTCGATGCAGCCTCTACCCGGTCGAAATCCTCAGTCTCACCTGGTACTGGATGTTAGGTCGGGTTGATGTGTGCTTGCAGGCAGAAGGAATTTGTCGCCGAACCTCCAGCAAAGTCATGATCCTATCAGAGATCGTGTTTGGATGAGGCTGGCTGGGTTGAACCACAAACAGAAGTTCCTGCTTTAAGTAGCGCTTTCGGTACCTGTTCGCAGTGGCCGTTAATATCCGACCAAGCGGCAGGCGTTTGAAGAGCTGGTTCTGATAGGTTTGATTTGCTTCTGGGCTAAGGGAGAGGTGTCCGTCTTGCGTAGACCTGAAAAGCGCAATCAAAACTAGCAGCAAACAAGTCGGGGTTCATGCTGGTATTCAAGGAGCGGTAAGCAGCAATTGATCTCCGCTACCGGCAACTGAGAGCCATGCGGTGTATTTGGATTCGGGGCTGGTTAGTTGGAGGACACCCGGTTGTCAAGCGACATCCACTGTATCTGTAAAGGAACAGTCCGTGATCGGCGCACATCCGAGGCACGCGCTCTCCGTTGAACGTGTTTCATGTCCAGCCTACTCTACTCACACACGATCCTGCAAGCATCATGATTACGAAACACTCGGGTACCACGTATGCACCACTGTGAATGGCTGTGGTTAGACTGTGACCTACAATGACAGTTACACGAACCAGGAAGTCCACAGCATTTCCCCCGGCTCACTGGGGACAGGGCTGATGACCAGCAGCGCGACCGTCTCAGAAATAAATGTAAATGCCCGAGAGAATGAGACAGTGGGGAACCGAAACCAAATTGATTTGATGCACAAATGAAGAAACCGAGTGTTTAGAGACACTAATCAGTGCCTCATCGTTCGGAGTAGCTTGCAATCTTAGGGGATGAGGTAGCAGCGCCAAAGAGTCACCGCTCGGCAGCTTTTCTTTTCGCTAAATACGTCGCCTGTTTTTGGAAGACGGAGCATCGCTACCAGCTCCTCTTCTTTTCCACTCCAAGGACATCCTATGCCCAGTGGAATATTGTTCCCTATACAGCGGCTGGACGCGCGGACAACTTTAACCCGTCCATTTTTTATCCTGTGTGAGAATCGGTAACAGTTCTAGCACTGGAGGATGCCCAATATCAAATCACTTTGCGGAAATGGTGGCACACATTGGCCTTTGAAGTATATCCCAGTAAGCCTTACACTGGTAGTTATCAAACTTACAGGAGAGTGCAACAAGCATGAGCTGCTAAACCGATATTGGGCAAGGATTCGTTACTGCACGCCCCAAGCTTGAGACGGCCCAGGGAAAGCACACAAGTTATAGACTGAGGTTGTCGCGTTGCTGAAATCTTCATTGATCTTGGTAGGGCTTTGAACCAAGCGAATCACCAGTGCTTGATGCTAACCTTCCAGTGACCCTAGCATGCCAGAAAGTGGACTTTCCAAGTTCTCTGCTTCACCCAATAGGCGTATCATAGAAGAAGGAACCCGCTCTGTTACCGCTTAGTATACACATTTACAGAACAGCCTAACCAGCTAGCTGCCGTTCGTTGCTGACCTCAAAATGGTATCATCGAACGATACCCCCAGAAGGATAATTCCAAAAGTATTCGAACCTTATCCAGACAGAAGATGCTCAATACCTCGCAAGCAAACGGAAGTGCTAACACTTCCACGATGACACGTTTGATAACCAATATCCCTATAGAGTTAGTGGACATCTGCAAGTGCTCCAAAGAACAGGGTTGACATAGACCAAGCAATTTGCTCCCGCCAGCCTGAGACTAACATCAAGCGTAATTTACCTAAAGTGAGTATATCACACCAGTCGTACAAAGATAATCTTATACGGTTACAGAAACACCATGTGCCAGCTATGGATACACAACAGCTCCGAGCAAATGATTTACTGTGCTCTTAAAAAGGTTAAAACATGCAGAGGACAAACCTTCTGATTCTGTCTAACGGGTGGCCACGGATAGGTCCCACTAAATGTGGATCAGCAAGCACCAGCACCTTCGAGAATTTAGATTGCAAAAGATAATCCATCTGAGTACCATGGGGTAAGGCCGGCCAGGAACAACGATGAATGGTCCAGTAATAGAGCACATATTCACAGACGAATGCCGTCAGGAACAAGAAACTGCCAGCACATAACAACCTACGGAGCATTCTTCTTGCCAAACAGGGAATTCGGAGTTTTCTGTAACTAATGCTTCCAGGTGCCTGTAAATGGAATTTTAGTAGCATGTGCCGAAAAAGAACAGAGGAAAAACGAAAACAGTGCGAAATTGGTAAGCTTTATTGCGACAAACAACTTCCAACATTAGGTCTTGTATTTGTAATAAAGGTCCCCAACGTCGAACTTTCCGATAAACTTCCAGCCGTCTTTCGTCATATGATACACTAAAAAGAAGTTGCTTCTAGATGAAGTTTAACCTTACGGTTTATAAAACCACCGGATGCAGCATCCCGATGCGTGGCGTGATAAATTGCACGACGTGCGAGTTCATAGGCTTCCTCATTTTTCATGTCATATTTATACATCGTATCCAAGACGCCATATGCATATGTGCTACCGGACCCCACCGAGAACAAGTCTCCAGTGAATCGTTGACCGTCGTCGTCAACATAGTATATCCCAGCTCCTTTTTTGTCCCAGCCAACAATTGTGGTCCCGATACTCAGACCCGCGCCTTTGTATTCATACAGCATATTTGCCAGAAGCTTAGACGCCGCAGCAACTGACATCCGCTCCTTGTTCCTTAGCTCGAATAATCTTAGACAGAATAAAAAAAAACGTTGGGCGACACTACCTGCACTGCTTCGAAAGAACTCGTTCCCAATATGCGCAGTCAGCTGCCCCGCCCGCCATTGTTCCGAGGAGATACTTGTTGATGATAAGGATTTTATCCGTTGTTGCCGAAGCTGGAAATTGTTCAAACTCAGGGGACCGACGGACTTACCGATATATGAGCCAGAGGATGCACGCGAGTCCGTTGCTATTATGGCACCACCGGAAAACTTGAATGCCAGTGTAGTTGTGCCATGGTTAAAATCAATTTGAACCGGACCACACTTTATCCCATTAGTCACTGGTTTCACAGCATCCTGCAAAGTATTTGGGTTCATATTGACCAATTGTATTCACGCACCTCCAAGTTTCGAGCCCAGTGAAGTTTAAATTCATCAAGATGGCCAATTGGGCGTTGGACGAAATCAACACTCGCCGGTCTAACTGATTCACGATCGGCTGGATACCCAGTAAGATCCGCAAGAGCCATTAGCAAGCAGTCCTTCAAAAACGAGCAGTGCTTCAAGGTTACGTCTTCAGTTCAGCTAGTCGCAGACTCATCTACTGACGCACTGGATGAACGAGCTCCCCGGATGGGGCTTATACATGCCGTTGAGCAGCTTCCATTCACACGAAACTCACAAATGGGAAGATTGGGGTATCAGTTGTCAGGCACCCAGCTTCTGACTGTAGGCTTGCCTGAGTGTGGACTCAGACCACAAGAGTCTGAAATTGATTTCAATTGCGTACCAGATGCAACGCAGGCAACCCTCACAAGAAGGACGCATCATTCACCGACTATACTAAGTGAGAAAAATTGCCTCAAAATGAAAGTGCACTCTGTAATTGTGATGAACATGACTGATAATCACTGCATATTCCTACATTTCGTTGGCAAGGAGGCGTATACTGTGATCAAAATTTTAGTATATCCTGAATCTCCATTCGATATTTCTTAAACTTCATTGAAGAAAAAAGTTCTTCAAAACCTCAAACCGATTAACTTCGTAGCAGCCGAAAGAGCTAGGTTCAATATGTTGACTCGCTCTCATTCTCGGTCGGTTCGTGAATTCGTATTGCGGCTGCAGACACAGGCAGCCAAATGTGACTTCGGTGCCCAATTGGAGGACCAGCTGCTTGGTAGGCTCATTGCTGGCATTCAGCTGCCCGAATTACAGCAGAAGCTGCTACTCTGTCCGGATCCGAAATTTCAAACTATTCGGAAAATATGTGAGCAGTATGAAGATGTGAAGCATGTGACGAAGAATGAGGAAGCAGTCTTGTTAAATTATTCTAAATGAAATAATGCAAGGATGCGGACGAACAACAAATTCAAACCTCAAACAGACTCTCGTGCCCCAAATCCATCAACACGTCACTTCACAGATCGTAACCCTAACCCCGCGGTTCAAAAATTTGGGAAATGCGAGTCTTGTGGACGAAACCATTCCAGATATTCATGTCCCCACAGACGAGGGAAGTGTTTTATCTGCGGTAAAACAGGACACTTGTCAACTTGTCTGTAAGACAAGAAAGTGTGTCAGTTGACCTCTGACCCAAATACTGACGTGAAGGCATTATCTGAAGGTATTTCTACTCTTTGTCTATCTGTTTTGTCCCAAAATTCGTCACATGTTTTTAAAACGTGGATATCCGCTTCTGGTCAAAAGCATGACTTATTGTTGATACTGGTATTGTTGAACCCATCATTCCACAATCAGATCTAACTGCACTCTCCCCAGTGCCGTGATAGTACCTACAGATGTTAGCATTCGCAGTATCACTGGACATTCTGTATCTCTGGTTGGTAGTTGCGCGATCCCTGTGAGGTTACCCCAAGCTACCTCTATCGGTTGTAAATTTTCGGTTTCAACGTTGGGACCGTCGATTATCGGACTCAAAGTTCTCCGCTTACTGCAAACCAGTATCACCTTACCGAGATCTGTGAATGTGAACGAAATCAAACAACCGATTCCTAAATGTCTTAAGCCTACAGGTGGCATACGATTACCCTAGAGACGAATTGTTCCATTTGGCTTACACAAGCCTGTTCGTCAAGCGTTTCATCGAGTTCATGCCGACTACTGTGGTCCTTTTCTCTGCAAATACTATGCTTTAATTCTTATTGATGCATAGTCACGTCGGCCTGAAGTTTTTCTAACTACGTCTTCAAGTGCCGAATTCACTCAGCAAGCACTGAGGAAAGTATTCAGCCACGAAGGTGTATTAATGTTTTGGTCACTGATAACGGCACACACTTCACTGGAAAATTCCTCGAGGAATGGTTGAAGGGTCTTGGATGTCGACTACTCCGCGACATCCCCAGTCGAATGGACTTGCTGAAAATTTTGTCCGAACACTGAAGTCTGTCATTATTGCACTTTCTTCTACTACTTTTGTGGAATTGGACCGTGGGGTTGATAATTTTCTAATGCAATACGAGTACGACGTCCATTCTGTTACTGGGAACAGTACCGCGCTTCTATTTAAATCTCGTTCGCTACGTACAAGTCTTGACTGTGTCAAAACGGCTGATGTTACATTTCTCATGTGTAATGATTTACGACCTGCTACAGGAATAGCACTTTCATCCAATGGCAAACGCATGGTCACCATTCTCGATTTGGATGATCTCGCTTGCCACCGGAGGCACATTGACCAGTTTGAGTTCAATACAAGAGGTCAGTCTGCTAACGGCACTCCTACTGTTTCAAAAACTAATGAATCCTTTGTGGATGATCTTATGGTATCTGAACAAAACGTATCTGAAGAACACAACCTGTGAAGAGCCTGAAGTTTCCATTCCGAGAAGATCCGAAAGATTGCGGTCAAGACCACCACTGGACTATAAACATTCACATGCTCATTCAAGGTGTGGCGGATGTGATGAACATGACTGACCCTATTCGTCGCTCTATTCATTATTCTCTTGTTTTAACATTCCATATGCTGTACATATTCCCCAATTCGAATACACACGTGCTACTTGTTGCTCTTATCTGAATTCTGGATTTCTAGTTCGTCTGGTTATACCGATGTACGTACGAAACTCAATTCCCACAGTGATCCTATAAACCTGCTTACCGTGTTCCCGTCAACCATCAGTAGGGCTCGCGTAAATTAGCATACCCTGTTCAAGCGGTTCGTGAGAATGTATCACACCCACTCGGAGGTTAAGACACACAGGCGAAAAGAGTTCAGAACTACCCATATTGTTTATACTTCTCAATTTCTCGCCAGGCACAATAAAGCCTCCCGGCGGGCCTCCTTCCAACGACTCATGGACGCACTCTAATCCATTCAGCGGAAGCTGAATGTCAGATAAACACTGATCCGCGGGACCGACACCCATTTGAAACGCGCTTCCAAGGAACTGCAAGGCATCATGTGAACCGCGAAATGTGGTTATGCGTTCGAGAGCGCACAGCGAGCCGTTGGGGTGGGGCGAAAGAATCGGTGGTCCCCGGACGGAGTATGGAAAACTCCAATCGAGACCAGTGGAGAAGAGTATTTTGGTTCAGTCATCAAATGACGGCTTCCATCCCGACGAAAATTTTAATATGGTGTCAAATTTTCGTTTGAATCATACAGACCTTGAAACCGAAAGCGGTGGGACAGAAGGAACTTGATTAAATGATTTAGGAGTCGAAATTATGGCGAACGGTATGCCACCAGCTTTTACATGTGTTAGACGATTGATGGATAGTGTTTGCAATTGCTATATGAATCATTTTGGAGATTCATTGTTCAGGTCACGAATATCAAGTTCTCGGTCCTGAGGTGACTCATCCGAAGATTTGGTCAGTGAGACCATGTTTCTTAAGGATATCCCAAACTACCAGAAGCATGCTGAGACATTTGAACCCACTAGACCCCAACCAGACACTAAGAATAAAAGCAAACGTTGCCTTAAAAATATAGCGCAACAATGTTGTATTTTCGAACTCAATTGCCTTCAATAAGATCGATTCGTCCCATGTCGGCGAGTAAGGCAGTTAAAAGAGTAGGCCGGTGAATCTAATATTTGCAAAGCTTCTGTGCGATAAGCCATCACAGGCTTCGTAGGTTGGCTTGACAATCGATACTTCCCCTCTACTGGTACGAAACAAACAATGCCTGCGCAGTGCAGTGGGGAATGCAGCGTGGTCCCAGGGGCAGAAGGAAGGTCACGGAAGATTATTGCCGAAGACCTCAAACGACCCCATGTATTTCGTTCCCATCGGTTCCGATTCTTCCACTGGGACTCATGTACTAAAATGCTATATTTTTGTATTTTCTGGGAAAGACCTTGTACCCGGTCTCCAGTACAAGCTTATTTACCGGTCTCTGATATACTACTGGTCCCCATCTCAAGAACTTTTAGCCCACCTTTTGAGCGCCTTGGATTCATCGTCGCAGGGAAGAGTTTGTATCTGGTTCCTGGAAGGCAACAAATTCTCATGTGTTTTATGCATAACTCCACTGCGCACTGGTTCCTCTGAGACGAATATTGCATGCGATTCGCAAACTTTCCTGAGGACTAACCCGTAAGTTACATCCGGTGAAACTGCATGCAAATCAAGCCGGTTAAAACAGACGGAATTCCTGGGCAATCGGTGATTCGAACGCATGCCTAAGTTTTGGAATCCCTCGCTCATAAGTAGAGAAATTTAAACGTCATCATACAGTGATTATTTTGTTTCAAACCATTCTTTACAAACATCTTGTCGACTAAGTTTTGATCACTGGTATTACTCAGAGCCATTGAAGGTTATGGACTCCTTGCGTCCTTAGTAAACAATTGAGTGTCCATATTCTTAGAGTGGTGTCGCGGACTAGGACCTTATCAGCGTGTTCGGATAAATTAACAAGCAAAGTAACCAATACAAAATCACAAAATCACAATAGGAAAGGAATGAGTAGACAAATGTGGACTCACGAATGTGTAGATCCAATAGTCCACTGCACCGATCAAAATGCGGTAACTGGCTGTGAAAGAAAATATTCACTTGTCGGAATTTCCCACAAATGGTTCCGCGTGCGTGGTATATTTCACGGTAGAAAAATTATTCACGGCTAAAAAATGTCACAGGGATTTATTGTGACGTTCAACAGTTGACACAAACACAGAGATCTAGTCCCATTAGCGTAAATGCACCCGTTCAGCAAGAAGCCAGCAGGTCGCACCGGAAAATTGTGTATTCGTAATATTAAAACAAACGTCATGATACAATGTGAACGACAGTTACAAAGTGTAGTTTAAGTTTAGGAAGAACGGTAAATGTGACAACGGATTACAGACACTACAGTTGTATTACGCAAGCTCGATACAGCCTCCGAAATTTCATGCCAAAAATACGGTGGAAGTATGTCGAACCAATCTTAAAACGACGGAAGGAGGACGTTTGAAAGGAGCCATTCTGATGCCCATATTCATACTGTTTCCTGGTACATTCTCAACATGTCCCCAAGGAGCATTTGCTGAGTCTTCTCTGATCGATATGTGGTTGAGCATTTCGTCACTCATTGTCAGTCAAGTGACTGCTG